CAGGATGATCAGAGAAGACTTCTCCAGGGTGACATTCAAGTTAACGCCTAAAGGAAAAGTGTAATAACCCTGATGGTAGGAAGGAGTTCAGGGGCACAGAGATGGATAGTGGCCAGATAATTTGGGGCCTTTCAGGCTACAGCAAGGAGGCTGAGCTTTATTCAGAATTCAATAGGGAAGCCATTGAACAGTTTCAGGCAAGAGAATGATGTGCTCCTACATCTGTGTAAAGATGATCATGCTTTGTTGCTGTATGTAGATAAAGAGGAGAGGTGGAGTGCCCAAAGTGAGAAACTGTTGCAGCAATGCAGATGAGAGAAGATGGTGGCCTGGGGCAAGGAGCTGGACACAGGAGGAGGACTAATCCTAGAAACATGGAATCACACGTGCATGAATTTAACTGACTCTGCTAACTCCAAATCCTTCCCATATCCAACCCCATTAAAAATGGGACTGACTCCTCTTAAGAGAGGAAGATGACAGTTGCTCTGTGGGGTCACAGAAGGAAATGTCAACTTGAAGCAGTGGCCAGGTTCTTCCCTGTAATTTATCAAACACAGCAGGATGTGTGTCTTATTAAACAAGGTTTAGATTCAAATCCAAACATCACTGAATACCCACCAAGTGTGAGGCTGTGTTCTAGAAGCTTTCACATATATCCTATTTCACCTGCTGTGGTTGAAAAATAAAGCCATACGTAATTTACTACATAAATAAAGCAAATTTTATTTATGAGAAGCCCATTCATCATTCTCTGAGCTCTCCCTTCCTTGGAAAGTAAGACCTCTCGGGTGCATACTTTGTCCAAATGAGTCAGTCTTGTTTACTTCTGTTATGCAGAAAAAAAATTGAGAAGTGTGATCTGACTGCCTATGTTTCTCACTTCTGCTTTTGTGAGGCTGATACAGAAAACAGTACATCCAGCTCTCACACCTGAGGGCCGGAGGCCTAGCCACTGCACAGACCCAACTACAACTCTAGTGACAAACATTTTCATGGACAGATAATCAACCATTTCTCTTGAGGAACCCCAAGGTCCAAGATGGTGGGTCAGGACAGGATGTAACATCATTACTTTGTTCCCAACTGACCTCCCCCTAAGACCAGACAGGCCCTGGCATTGGCCTGGCTTACCAGCCCAGCCCTTTCCCTCCACCTCCACCATCACCACCACCACCATCATTTTGGTGGATTTCTTCTTGAGGGCCATTGTTGTCCATTCTGACACTTAGCTCATTTAGAACCATCCCAGCACATCAGAAGGGTTACCATAACTTGAAACTCCAAAGGGAAAGAGCCGGGATTTCTGATTTACTAGGGAAATCCTTAGTCCCTTTGCAAGATTTATAAGAAGAGAATATCTGTTTTGGACATTTAAAACTATGCAGTGATCTTTAAAAATACTCAGGTGGAAACTCTGGGTGTCAAGTTCAAGAGTAGTGGGTGAGCTTGAGATTTGGGAGTGAGGGCTGTATTAGTAGTGGAGTCACAAGTGAGGATGTGACTGCGAACATGAGGATGTGAAATGGAACCTGAGGAATAGTACGGTTTGAGAAGCAAGCCCTCCAAGGAAGCTGAGAAGGAGCTCTTAGGGTAGTAGAAAGATACAGCCATGTCATAGACCCCAAACGGAGAAAACATTTCAAAAAGGAATTCGTTCAACAGCGTCCAAGGTAACAGTGAAAAAGCCAAGGACTGAAGTCAGGTTATGAATTTCTAAGATAGATAAAACTTATTCAGGTCTGTTTTGGCATATTATCGATCAAGGTCATATGATCGGATTACATTCCCTTTCAACAATTTGTGCTCAGAGTTGTATAATTAGACTCTTAACAGCGCAGTACTGACAATCACCTGCTAAGTAGTAATTGGTATAATGAAGGTCATTTCATCACATCTGACTCTACTGATTTTATCAGAAGTGAAAAAGCCACTTTCCTCTTGAAATCAACAAAATCTAGTAACTACTATATTCTGTTTTGGCTTTGCCACTTGACAAGGGCACTGCCCTGTACAGCGTCGGTTCTTCCGAGTTCGGTATATCTATTCATGTGTCAGGTAATGACTCAATTCTCCCACACTTTTTCCTGGAATACTATCAAAACATTTTGAACAACGTGATAGAACGTGGTCTGGTCTCCACTTAGCTTGGGCATATCATTTATATATTTAGTCCACTTATTTTCTCTTTAGTCTGACATTATTAAAGTACTTCTACTTGGAGCCAATGTGATCATAAGCAGAAATATAAATACAGGTAATATCAAGCATCAATACAATTTCAGAATATGCTTACATTAAAATTTCTAGGTTCACTGAACTGGAAACATAAAAATTCAAAATCCTCCTGGAGACCTGGTGACTCATGTTTCAGAAACACGGTCAGGGAGATTATGCCCAATCAGTGGGCACTCCTCCTTTTGTGCCTAGACTTTATGTTTGATTTCTGTCTTTAAGGGAAGAAGGCTTGAGTGGGAACCCATGAGCAGCAACAACAGCAGTAGGTGAATGACAATTACTGATTTGTGATGATATCCATAGACTTTGTTTTGAATCATTTTTACTCCTTTCATATATTTTCATCTTTTCCTAAAAAATAAATGGGCATTTCTTTGATAATTACTGTGGTATGTTAACTTTTTTTGTTTCATCCACAGCACCTAGTAGAGTGACAGATTCCAACTGACAGTTGGCTAAGGCTTCTTTAGCTTAATACATACTCAAGCACTTAATTATCATTTGGGGGGAAAAAGGAAAAAGGCTTGCATAACAATTTTTATCACATAGAGATATGCAGCCGAGAGTAAATTAAGAAGGCCTGGCTCTCTCCATGTGTAAGAGCAGGGACGGCAAAGCCTGGATATATATTGGCTACTAATTGTTTCTGCCCATAGACAGAGCATCTCTTAAATGCCTTTTCCCTTCTCTTGATTTTCATGAGAAATCATGGCCTTGGGGACAAGGATGTCATTAGAGGTATTTGCTGATACTACTTCCTCTTTCTGAGTACATGATAGGATTTCACTTTTTCACATGGCCTTGTGGCTTGTTTGCACCAATCAAATGTGAGCAGAAGTGGTATGTATCTTTTCTAGGGGGAAATCTTTAAAAGCTGGTATCAGATTCACCATATTCTATTTTCTCTGCCTTGATGCCAGTGATGATATTAAGATGATGGCTCCATCAATCTGTCCATGAGTAAAAATGACAGGGAGTAAAGCTTTCCAGTGACCCAAGATGGGCAGGAGATCGAGATGGGCAGGAGAACCGTACTATTCCTCAGGTTCCATTTGCCATTTGAAGATACTGAGATTTGGGGCATGACCTTGACCTGCTTGATTTTACAGGGGCCAATCACCTGAAGTGGTCATTTTCCTCCTATCTCAACAAGAGGGTCTGAGCTGGCTAAAACAGTTAGAAAGTGGATGCAGCTAGGAAAAAAATAGATATTATTTTAGTGAGAATAAGACTATGCCATGCTTTACAATTCTCAAAAGCATTTTTGCATAGATTATTTCATTTCTTCTCCCTTGTGATCTTGGGAAGTGGTCAGGTCTCTACCTCTCCCTTCCAGACCAACATTCCTTGGTCAGTTGGCTGTTCTCACTGCCCATCCCATTTCTAATGTGCCCCTAATTTAGCACTTAGTACAGTATACTACAATTTTAAAATATGATCTGTCCTCCTAGGCAACTGTGTCCTGTTCAATTTTGTATACCTTCTTTCCAACCAACATCCATGCTCCACTGTTTCATACTCATATCAAGTGCTTCATAAATGCTCATTTGAAGAAGCTGAGAAGTTAAGTGGCAAATCCTAGGTTACAAGTAGCAATTAGTATTCAAATCTAAGACTTCCGACTCAACGTTCTAGTGACAACTATCATTTACTGAGCACGGAGAAAGAGAAAGCAGCTGTGACATCTGGGTACTGTCCTTGATGTTGCTATGAGCTCGTCGGGACCACATTCTGTGGACTAAAAACAATTTCACAGAATAACATCAGACAAAGCCATTCTATGACCATGATCAAGACAAAAACAAGACCACTCCACAGTCTTGTCTGAACACAGATCAGGAACATTTTTGAAACCACAAAAATGACCAAAAATGTCTACTACAAGCTGCTTCTTTATCAGTAATGGCTTTAACCTCCATCTAGCGTTCACTCCTTCTTACTAAGAATTAAGATACCCAATCATAGAATTACCCCCACTTCCTGACAGCATCCAATACAGTGCCTGGCCTTGCTTTCTTGAATGCTTCCCACAATTGCATAAACCCAAATCCGGTAACAAATTCTAACGCCTCTACTGAGATACCCCATTGTTCCTCACGTATGCATTCCCCCTCCTCACCAAAACTAATAAATCCAACTTCGGGTGTGTTGCTGGTAGGCTTGTTGGAAGGCATGTACAGTCCCGCCTTTGCTCCAGGGCTACGGTGTACACACACATGTTGAGGGTTTCATTAGAAACCCTCATTAGGTGTGGGATTGTGACGTCCACTTGACAAAGAAATGGAGGATCATAGAGATGAAATAATTTGCCCCAGGTCACACTCCCAGGAAGAGCCAGAGACCACAAATCAGGCCCTTTGCCAGGAGCACTCTCTTTCCCGCACCCTCCACGGGAGCTCCCTACTCTGTCCCCATCTTCTGCGTTCCTTAGGGCACTTGCCCTGTGACCCGGATGCTACGGGGAGCTGCATCCCAAATATGTTCCTTTTGCAACTGATCTCCTGTGTGCTTCTGTGAAAAACGATATCCGGGCCCAGAAATGTTTTCTCACTGCAGAGCCCTGGCGCCGGCCCACGGAGCTGCCCAGCAGCCGGGAGCCGGCAACCCGGCAACCCTGCAATGTGGGATCAACCTGGGCCTCTGGGGGCGGGCTCACGAGAGTGACGTCAAGCGGACCAATCCCTGCGAGGTCGCCGGCCACGGGGCCCAATGGCAGGAGAGCCTGGCAGGACAGTGAGAGCAACGCCGGCGGCAACGCCCGCACCCCAGCGGCATTACCTTCTCCGCGGGCGGTGGTGCTCGGCGGGCAGGGGCCAGTGTCGCCCGAGCACCGGACGGGCCGCGGACCCACAGACCCACCCACCGACCCCCGGACAGACTGCCGACCGCGCAAGGAGTAGCCGCCCGTTGTGCCGGCAACTCCCGCAGCTCCCTGGGACCGAGTCCGCAGGGCCGCCGAGGAGCCGAGCGAGGGCTGCGCAGCGAACTGTCGCCGTCGTGACTCTGGACGCAGGAGTGGTTTGCTTTAAAATGAGAGCTTGAGTTTCCCCGACAGGTGCATTTGGTCGAATTCAACGGAAATTCCCCTCCCCGTCGCAGCGCGGCGGTGCAGACCCGGCCCCCGACCCAGACGGCGGCCAGTGTCCCCAGCAGCATTTGCTGCTGGGCACGTGCCCAGGAAGCGCAGGGCACCCCCGCCCCCAAAGAGAAGACAGCCCCCAGAGATTCCGGGCCCCGAAAATGATCGGACCCGCGCCTAGCCTGGCAGGAAGACTGTAACCGTGGGGTGAGTTTAAACGAGAAAAAAAAAATCCCTTTACGATTGGGAGCTGCTTTTTGAAGGCCTCCTTCCTGTCCTATTAACAAGCAGCAAAATAACAATAACAAACAATTGCGCAACTGTCCTGTTCTCAGAGGAACCTCACTGTTTCCCTTTTGAAAACCGGTTGGCAGTATACAAGGTGGGGACTGTAGTGAGATTATTCCAAATGAAAATGGGTGACAACTTATAAAACTATTTTAAGGCGGCGTGAGTCCTAAAAGGTCATAATTCTTAAAAATAGAAGTACGACAGTCTCGGGTTTACTGCGTACCCTATTCCAAAGTAAAAATTAATGTCTTAGGAAGTGCTTACTGCTTTCTGTTCCCTAGTTTGCCTGTTTACTCCACAAAATTCCTCTAACTTCCCCGTTCTTTTTCATAGAATTCAGCTACCTACCCAGGCAATATGAAGATTTTCTTTGTAGAACCTGCCATTTGCCTTAGTGCATTTGCTATGACTTTGGCTACCCCACTGACAACCCAGTATGTGTATAGGAGAATATGGGAAGAAACGAGCAACTACAGTTTTGTATCTGATAGCAATACTTCTGAGTGTGGAAAAAACAAAAGCAGCCCCATTTTTGCATTCCAGGAGGTAAGAAATTAAAATATCCCTAAAATGTAATAAAAGGGGAATGTATAATGGGGTTTTCAATGAAAGAGGGCCTTGCACTCATCATCCGTTGATCCCTCAAGGGTCACCTTAAAACTCTTAAATCCCAAATCAAGAGCCTTTATTCAGTTCTCCTGTTTGAAGTTTCCTGACACCTCTAATCTGCTTCTTCTAAGTAAAACCCCCTTCTTTTTCTGTGACACTGGCTGTTCTCTTTTCTGAGAAAATTTCAGCCTAATCTCATCTCCTGAGTGGCTGTGTCCTTCCTCCTTCCCACACAAAAGCCTGAAGGTTTGACCAAGGCCAGCTGGAATGAGTACTGGGTGACCTCAGTGGGGTCAAACAGGGTGCTCCTGCCTTTCCCTTCCCTCCCCTCTGGCCTTACCCATCCCCCCTTCTACGGCATGTACATGACCCAGTTTTCAATGACCCCCAGAACGTAGCCCATCACTGAACACGATGGGCCCCGGGGTCCGTCATCGGCTGATGGAGAAGCAGTGTGTCATTCCTCATTTGCTGTTCTCAGATCAGCTCTGACTCTCAAATGTTGAGGAGCTACTGTGTGAGCTTACGTGTGGAGGAGAGCACTCACTTTGGTGCTGAGGGCACTGAAAATGTTTAGCCAGATATTACAGATTACTTCTGCCTCTCCAGCCTCCTCCCCCAATTTTTTGTTTAAAAGAGGAGGTACATCGCCATTCTCCTGCTCCCTCAGTTTTGTTTTGTTTTTTTAAATCAAAGTCTGCCAATGTCCAGATGCAAAGGAGATGCATTCAGATTTGGAATTTTTCCCCCCAGAAAGCCTTAAAAACAGACCACACTTAGAAACATTGACCTATTTCCCTAGAGGATGTTTAGTGATGGCAAAAGAGTGGGACTGCCTCCCCAAAGGACAAGAAGAGTTTAAGGGAATTCGAATCACCTGCTGGCTGGCTCTAAGATTTTTCTCCTCAGTAGAAGAGAATTCAGGTGTGACTGGAAGATGAGTCTGAGGCCTGGAAGAAATGGCAAAGGGCCGAGAAGGAAGGCTCTAGCATTTCTGGAGATGTTCCCCGAGGTGTCAGGTATAACCTTGCTAGGCTGAGGCCTGGCTGTTTGGCACAGCTTCTGCTGTTCCTCATTTTCTCATTTCCATGGGAGAAATTTTCTTGGAACTGATAATTACTGGGAACCCATACAGACATCAAGGTTCCAGCCTAAAGTGAGGTCATAAAAATAGAAGGGCCAAGGGTCTCACCTTGTGGTTTTGTCTCCTGATTTCAAGAATGTTTCCTTCTATATATATATGTCATTCCCAGGGAGTGAAAAGGCTCATCAGTTTCTATATTGGATTCTGTGCTTTCCTTTACCAGACACCTGGGAGCAATGGGAGGGACAGAGGGAAAGAGGACTTGAATGTCTGGAAAAATCTGCTGCCCTTGCCCTCCTAGAGTAAAGGGAGACAGGCTGTGGTTCAGTCACCTTGGTGGCCTCTATGACTGTGCAGGTGATGACTGTTGGCCCCTCTGGCCTTACCTAGTTGCTGAGATCCCCCCACTGCCCAGAGCAGTGGTCTCATTTTGAAGATTTTTGCCGAATGTTTAAGTTGATTGTTGTTTCATTGTTTTTTAATTAGATTAATATTTAAGAGGACATACTGCCCTAGATCCCTTCCCTTAAAGTTGGTGCTCTAGAGCTACAGGTGCTTTTTCTCAGATTGGGGAGCTAGAAAGCACCTCTGTCTCCACCCATAACCAAGACAGGTCAGGTGGGCCACTCACCTTTAGCTCCTTAGGAAGGAGGAACACTTTTGCTTCCCAGGAGGCACCACCATCACCTTCAGCACTTCCCTCTGGCCCCTCTTCTGGACACTGTTCCTGCTCAGTATAAGAATATTCTCTTACCTGGGGCACCTGGGTGACTTAGTCGGTTAAGCATCTGCCTTCGGCTCAGGTCCTGGGATCAAGTCTCACATCAGGCTCCCTGCTCAGCGGGGAGTCTGCTTCTCCCTCTCCCTCTGCCCCCCACTTGTGTTCTCTCTCTCTCTCTCAAATAAATAAATAAAATCTTAAAAAAAGAAAGAATATCCTTTTACCTTTAAATCCAAGGACAAATGTTGCCTGTTTTATGAGCTTCCTTCTCAATTCCCAGCTCTGCTTGGTGGGTGCTGACCACTTGCTGACTAAAAGAAGTTTAGGAGTTTGAGAACTGTTCTTATAACCCTAAAAACAAAATTTCATAGCACAGGGTCAGTCCCTAATAAAATAAATAAATGATTTTTTTTTTTCAGTTCAGGTTTTTCTTTCCCACTCCCCCAAAAGACCAGTTACTTATAAGAAAAGTACATAACACAATAATGTATTGAACTTCTTACCGTTATACCATATTTATTTATCCTTCTATAAAACAAATACACACATGGACACATGTATTGGATGCAAGATAATATGAATTTCAGGGTTCAGATATAAGAATAAACTGAGCTGTTTGACTTACACTTACCATTTTGAAAGTCTATATGAATAAAAGTCTTATTTTTCAAATCCACTGGGATTAATATGTATATCCATATAAATAAATATTGATCTAACCTATTTTTCAAATCTTTGAGTTTGACTATAAGGTACACCCACATACTTCTCTTGGGCAAGATTAGTCTCTAAAGGACGTCTTAACAAAATGGCAAGGCTGTGGGAAGGAAGGTCTTGGCTGAGGGAGAAGAGGTAGGGAATTCTAGGCATGTTTGTTGACTTTTGCAGAGGAAGGAATTTTTAAGCCCCTTGTCACCCCCTCCTTCCCACCCATTACTTCCCAGGTTAACTGACTGGTTTTGAGGTATTAAATTGGCCATTGTGGTCTGTTCTCTTCAGGTACTTTCAAGATAGGGATGCTGCTATTTGAGGGGACAAGTTGGCATTAACCAGATCACGAAGTTGTTCTTATTCAGTAATTTATTTATAAACCTTTTAATAACTAACACAATCCCTTATTACCAGCAGATAGAGAATATTTTCTGCTCAATTGTAATTATACATTTTAGCCTATGAAATTGTGACTTTTTAAAAATTGATACTCCTTTCCTTAAGTTATATCTCTCTCTACATTGTCATTCTGTTCAAACTTGCACAGGGAATAGCACTTTTTACTCTGATTTCTCCCATCTCCTTATCTAATATATAATTATCATTCTCCAGAGTTTAAAAGGTATAGGTTGCAGATGAGGAGAGTAGTCTGTGTAAAAGGCTGGGTTAGGAATGACAGTAGACAGAAGACAGGATGTGGGGGAGGGGTGGAAATGGGAGGAGGAATCTCAAACTGGAACATCTTGTTGAGAAGTTGATTAAAAGATAATTGTTTCATTTACTTCTTTATTCAGTAAATATTTACTTGATGGCTTTTATATCCCTAGAGATACAGAGATGTGCTCAGGAAGCCTGACCTAGTAAAAATGAAAACAGCCGAAGTTGATTAAGCACTAATCCGTAATAGGATCTGTGCGGTCTGCCTTATATTGACATACTGACTTTAAATGCAACTCTCACGACAGCCTGCATGATAGGGACTCGGGTTACCCCCTCTTGTCAGATGAAGCTATAGGGATAAATGATTTGGTGAGGATCACACGCAGCTAGCAAATTACGAGGCCCATTTTACTTGCTTATTCATCCATGCAACCAGGCGCGGATGAATATCTAGGGCGGGCCCTTTAGCACTGTTGTTGGAACTGGTGATAACCATGGTGAAGACAGGGTTCCAGCCCTTTTGGAGCTTATGCTGTAGTGGAGAGGGCACGCCTGAGCAGTTCAATGAAAGGAACCCGTCCTGTCGAGGGGTGGCAAGTATCTAAAGAAAATACAGCCAGACAAGCTCATAGAGCGCCGGGTGAGGATTAGTGGGGTTGCTTTGGATTGTGTGATGAGTCACAGAAGCCTTCTGAGGAGGTGGCATTTGAATTGAGGAAGTGAGCTGCAGGAGGGAGGCAGAGGGAATAGCAAGTACAAAGGCGAATGAGCACAGAGTGTTTGAGGAATGGCTTGCAGCTGAGGGGAGTGAGGAAGTGGACATGAAATCAGAGAAGTCATGATGTCTGACCACCCATGCCATGGCAAGGAATTCGGATTTATTCCAGCGTAAGGAAAGCCACTGGGGGATTTTTTTTTTTAAGTATTTATTTATTTGAGAGAGAGAGCGCAAGAGATTGAGAGAACGAGTGGGGGAGGGACAGAGGGAGAAGCAGACTCCCCCCAGAGCAGGGAGCTTGACGAACGGACATGGGACTGATCCTAGGACTGTGGGATCATGACCTGAGCCGAAGGCAGGTAGATGCTTAACCGACTGAGCCACCCAGGCACCCGCCACTGAGGGATTTTGAGCAGAGGAGTGACGTGAGCTGATTGTTTTTAAAGATCACTCTAACTGCTGTGTAAAGAACGGACTACATTATGGGGCACTTGGGTGGCTCAGTTGGTTAAGCGACTGCCTTCAGCTCAGGTCATGATCCTGGAGTCCCGGGATCGAGTCCCGCATAGGGCGCCCTGCTCAGCAGGGAGTCTGCTTCTCCCTCTGACCCTCCCCCCTCTCATGCTCTCTCTCTGTCTCATTCTTTCTCTCTCAAATATATAAATCAATTAAATCTTAAAAAAAAAAAAAGAACTGACTACATCTGAATCTAGATTGATCTGACTCCAGAGCTCTTAATCATTACACCAAAGAATGTAGCTGGGGAATGATAATTGCCATATGAGAAGTTTCAATAGAAGGAGAGATTACATCTGTTTGGGCATTTCAGGGAAATCCAAGTGGGACTTGACTATGGACTGTGCCTGTAACATAGAGTATTGGAGGGGGAGTGAGTGGAGATAATGCAGAAGAGTGGGGTTGGACCGCATCTCGGTGGCCTTACACAACAGACTAGGAGTGTGAGCTTTCTCTAGCAGACAGTGGGCTGAGCAGGTGAGAGACATGCTGCTAGTGTGTTTTGGTAAGATGCTGCCACCATTCGCGTGTATGATCTGCAAAGTAAGGGGGCTGGCATCATAGACTGCATTGAGGAGACAGCCAGCTAGATGCCAGGGCAGTTGAGGTGAAAACTCTGAGCCCTGTCCTTCCAGGGGCAGCTCAGGGACTATAAAGAGGTAAAGGATGCGAGAAGCACTAGGTGTTGGTGGGCATGGATGAAGGGAAAGGCTAGAAACAAAGATGACTGAAGGTTTGAGTCTGAGGGACTAGAACATTTCCTGATAACCTGAAATTGCTTGCATTATTTGAATATATAAAAATAAACACAGGCTCACTCTTTAAAAAAATTAATTTCAGAAATTGATATTTTTGTGGTTCATCAGTTGTTTTAGGGTCTTCCTAAATATTACATGAATCTATTTTTAAAAATGAGTTTAGTAATCCCTAGTATAAAAATGACACATACTCTTTATATAAAATTTGGAAAATACAGAGAGAAGTGGCAAACAGAAAATGCTTTTAAATCACCCAAAATTCTTCCCATCAAATAACTAGCGTAATGGTTGTAACATCTTCCAGTCTGTGTGTGTACCTGGTGATTATGGTCCTCCGGGGAGCTGGGTTTATCTTACTCCTCAGTTCATGGCATGCTACCATCTTTAGTCAGTGCAAAGCTGCTCTTTGGGTTTTATCTTATTTTTTAGTAAGTAAAGAAATAGATTAGAAGAAACTTATTTGTGGAGACACATGTGAACAAAGCAACTGAGTGCTTCCTAAATAAAGGCCTATCAAATATGACATTTACATGTGACACTCATTCCCCTTTAAGTAGACAGAAAGATCTATCACAGGAAAGGGTATTGCTCTTGCTTTACAACAGTGGGCATGATCTCAGTGCTAAACTGTTGATAGAAGAAAGAAAAATCATTATATGACCAGTCCCAGATGTCTTGGGGTCTGTGGATCTTCTATATAAGACACACATGCACCAATACACAATTGTCTGTTTATGAGTTCAAGTCCCCACCACGGTACTTGCATATTATGCCTGAGCTTCAATTACTATATTGCCTCTTGATACTTGCTTTATGAACTGGAAGAAGATTCAGGCTGTATCAAACCCATGCACCAGAGATTCCTTGTTGGTGACCTACTGGAAATGTAAAGAAAAGTATGCATCGTGATTATTTCTGTGCATGTTGTCTATATCTCTGTAAACACATTGTCTTCTTTTTGTCTCTTTGCAGGAAGTTCAGAAGAAAGTGTCTCTTTTCAATCTGCAGATGGACATAAGTGGGTTAATTCCTGGTCTGGTGTCTACATTCATACTTCTATCTCATAGTGATCATCGAGGACGAAAATTCCCTTTGATTTTGTCTTCTGTTGGTGCTCTTGCAACCAGTATTTGGCTCTGTTTGCTTTCCTATTTTGCTTTTCCATTCCAGCTTTTGATTGCATCTACCTTCATCGGTGCACTTTGTGGCAATTCCACCACATTTTTAGGAGCCTGTTTTGCCTACATAGTTGATCAATGTACAGAACAGAAACAAAGAACAATTCGAATAGCTATAATCGACTTCATACTTGGACTTGTCACTGGATTAACAGGACTGTCTTCTGGCTATTTTATCAGAGAATTAGGTTTTGTGTGGTCTTTTTTAATTATTGCTATGGCTCTTACTGTTAATTTGATTTATATTTCATTTTTTCTTGGTGATTCAGTGAAAGAATCTTCATCTCAGAATGTTTCCATGTCATGTAGTGAAGGCTTTAAAAACCTGTTGTACCGAACTTCCATGCTTTTTAAAAATGCTTCTGGTAAGCGACGGTATTATCTCTGTTTGTTACTTTTTACAATGATCACTTACTTTTTTGTGATAGTTGGCGTTTCCCCCATCTTTATCCTTTATGAATTGGATTCACCACTCTGCTGGAATGAAGTTTTTATAGGTTATGGATCAGCTCTGGGTAGCGTCACCTTTTTTAGTAGTTTCCTAGGAATATGGCTTTTTTCTTACTGTATGGAAGACATTTATATGGCCTTCATTGGAATCTCTACCACCATGGCAGGAATGGTTATGACTGCTTTTGCCAAAACAACATTGATGATGTTTTTAGGTAAGTTACAAATGTAGCCTTAGAACTAACCATGTATTTATGTTTATATCAAATGAATTTAGTCTGTTGGGTGATAAACTTTTAACATACAATTCTCTATTTAATGCATTCTAGTTCAAGTAAGGCACTTTGTTAAAAGCCAGTTTGCCAGAAACTGAAAGCCAATCTACTTTAAAAAAAGCAATTCACTGAATAACCACAGTTTTCCAAATTTGCATACTTGACAAAAAATTGTTTTGAGGAACATTCTTCTTGTGAGTCAATTCTTCAAAACAACTTTTACCAACTTGCATATTTCTTAAATGCTGAAGGCTGGGGCACTGGGCACTGGGGTGGTTCAGTCGGTTGAGCATCCAATTCCTGGTTTTGGCTTAGGTCATGATCTCAGGGTCATGAGATGGAGCCCCACTCAGGCTCCCTCCTCAGCAGGGAGTCTGCTTGAGATTCTCTCTTTGCCTCTCCCTCTGCCCCATAAATGTGCTGCTAAGAAGGCTACTTTCCATAAAAATTTTAAAGAGCATTATATAAAGTAGACTCAAAAGATTTATAAAATTCATATTTATTGAATATATTCAAAAAGAAAATTCTTTAAGATAGGCTTTTGCAAATTGGTCATTTCATTAATTGGCTTTTGATAAATTACTTTTTGCCAAACTAGACTGCTTCCTTAACTACCTACCCCATAAGTGGATTCAGTAGGGCTTGAGTGAGATGCTGCCTTTGAAAGAGCTAAGGGATCTGTAAAGTGGGACCTTGAGAAGGGTCTAATTTCATCTTTTTTACAAAGGCACTGTCAACCTCTTGCTCCCTTGCAGGGAAGCAGGATGACCAAATAGAATTGGGCTTAATGTCCATCTGTAGTACCAGGTGATCTTGGGCAAGTTACTTAACGACTCTGGGCCCTCATTTACTCATCCGTAAAATGGGCACAGTAGCACCGAATTCACTGGGTTATAATGAATATTAGAAGAAATCACTGTAAAGCACTTAGCACAATGCCTCGTATTCAGTAAATGTCAGTTCTCCCTGTCTCCCTTAGAGTTGCCAAGGCCAAGTAAGTTAATATATGTGAAATCACACTGAAAACTTTAGAGTCATCTGCAAAAATAATATATTGCTATTTTATCGTATATAACTAGAAATGCTACTATTAGGGGTCCATAATTTAAGAGGAGAGGCAATCTGTGTTCATGAAATTATTCCACACAAAGATGAAGAAGCATAAAGATAAAGAACCAATTTATCAATACGTGCATCAATATGATAAAAGAATGCAGACACTAAGAATGCCAAATCTGAAAAAGCAAAAACAGAAAACAAATGTGGAAAGCTAAGTCACACCTTGCTAAATGAGAGGTTTCTACAATAATCAGGGAAATAGCAGATCAGTCCCAACTGGCAGAATATATAGATCTGGACCTCAAACCTCCCTGAACTCTTGTTCTTAGCACTGTAGAATAAGAGGGCAAACGAACCTTGAACTGGCCTGTCTGCAGTGTATCTGTGTATTCATTAAACAGAAGTCTATAATTAATTACTTCAGTCCTTAGGTGCAATGATAGGATGCTTAGAGAGAAAACATTTCACATCAAAAATTGCCCATTGGTTTTCTGATTTAGCCCATGATTTCCCACCATTTCTCTTACAGTCAGGCTGCCGTTCCTTTTCACTATTGTGCCACTCTCTGTTCTACGCTCCATGGTATCCAAAGTGGTTCGTTCTACTGAACAAGGTGAGTTTAATTTGCTGAAGGGAAATAATGAATCTACAATCTGTATCAACTCAAATCTATGTACGACCAATGTTTGATTCTTCAGAATATTCTACAACCGTTTTTCTGCTCAGAACTCCCTTTTGAGTTAAGTGGTAAGTTCTGTGTTCAGAAGAGGCTTATATTCAGGCAGGGGTGCCCCTGCCCAAGGTCTCCTGCTTTAGAAGCTTGCTCTGGCCAGACCCCACCCCAAGAGGAGAGCAGTGCTCAGAGCTAGGCAGATGCCCACTGGGAGCCCACCACACCTACCCCTTCTAGACTACACTCTGGTTACCTGGACCCCCGTAATTCCCCACCAGACAGCTCTGGGTTCACATCCATGTGTGCCTGGATGGTAGTCTTCCTCAGACCCTTTAGCCTGAGGGTGGACTGTGACCCCAGTGTGCTGTCCTCTAGATCAAAGGGGTAGCCAAGCCATGACTCTTTATAGGAGATCTGGCCCAACCTTAGAATTGCAGAGTGGGGTGTCTACAGCCATGTGTAAATGATCCTTTCTGAGCAGGATGGAGCAAGAGGTAGAACACAACATGGGTGGGCTGCACCCTACAGCTGGGGACTGAGGGCCAAGGGCTAGCTAGCTCTGCCAGTGCTGTCATTTTCCTACACAGAACTCTAAAAAGTCTGAGAATTCTAAGTTTGTTCCTGACCCTCCGAATCATCGTGACGGTATATAATATAGTATATTTCTCAGAGAGGGGAGACAGAATATATCTTAGTTAAGTTTGTTTATTCGAACTGTAACTTTTAAATACTTAGAATATAATTTATAGGCCTCTCATTGTATTCTTACACTGGACCCCACAAATGTTAGAGCTGGGCCTGAATTAGAGTCCTAGCATAAACAGGATCCCACTCAGCTGGTTCAGTAGAAGGGCAGCAGTATGGGGGGTGGGTTTGATGAAGGCACCCAGAGAAGATGGCCCAGTAAGAAGGGAGCAGAGACAGAACACCACAACCTTTCTCTCCACGTTTATCCCATTGACCAAGCACAACAGAAAGTCAGGCTAGCAAGGAAATCCAAGTCATATGATCCGAAGGGTCAGCCCCCCAAGCACAGAGCAGGATACAGGAGATCAAACAGTTTGAAAGGGAAGGCAAAGAATGACCAATACAGAGGACAAAAAAATTAAATTTCTGGTTGGAACTAGTTACTAGTTAGATATTAGGCATATGGGGTTGTCCTCCTTCCTCCCTGTATCATATGAATACTGTTAGACTTTGAAGCTCTCTTTTGTTTCATGTCTTAGCCTGGTGCAAATATTCATATTAATTATTGATGGATCATTCATAATTATGCTATTGTATTTATGGCAGTTTAGTCAACACTGGGCAAGACTGCATAATTCACTACATTTAAAATATATTTCTTGGTTCTCTTCTACTCATAAGATGCAGCTGTATATGCACACAGCTGTTTATAGATTATGTAATGATGATCAACTGGAAAACCACTTTGGGATATAAAAATGTGTAACTAGAGTATGTAAAATCCTACCTGCTTCCTTGGGTTATGCAACGGTTTCTTAGATATGACACCAAAAGCATGACAACAAAAGAAGAAATAGATAAATTAGAACCTATCCAAATTAAAAACTTTTGTGCTTCAAAGGACACCATCAAGAGAGTGAAAAGACAACCGACAGAATGTGAGAATACATTTGTAAATCAAATGTCTAATAAGGAACTTGGGAGGTGGGTGGGGGGATGGAGGAAATAAGTGGAGGACATTAAGAATACACTTAGCACGATGAGCACTGACTAATATATGGAAGTGTTGAATCACTATATTGTATACCTGAAACTAATATAACACTGTATGTTAACTACACTGGAATTAAAAAAAAAAACCTCAACAACAAAAAGAAAACCCAATTATTTGGCAAAGGATTTGAATAGACTTTTCTCCAAAAAGGTGTACAGATGGCCAATAAGCACATGAAGAAATGTTCAACATCATTAGCCATCAGGGAAATGCAAATCAAAACCACAATGAGACCCACTAGGATGGCTAAAATGAAAAAAGACAGACCAAGATGTGAAGAAATTGGAACCCTCTTACACTGCTGGCTGAACATAAAATGATGCGCCCATTTTGCAAGAACACTTTGGTAGCTCCTCAGAAAGTTAAATAGAGTGATCTTATGACTCAACAATTCCATTCCTAGAAATAGAATGGAATTGAAATCCCAGTAGAAATGAAAACATATACCCACATAAAATCTTATATACAAATGTTCATAGCAGCATTATTTATAATAGCCAAAAAGTATAAAAAAATGGAAATGCCCAGGAACTGGCGAACGGATAGACACATGTATATCTGCCCAATGGAATATTATTTGGCAATAAAAATTAAGTCCTGATGGTACTTGCTACACTGGGGGGGAACCTTGAAAGCATGACCCTAAATGAAAAAAGCCAGACACAAAAGGCCACATACTATCATATAAATATGGTTCCATCTAGATGACATGTTCAGAAAAGGCAAACCCATAGAGACAGAAATCAGAGAAGTGCTGTCCAGGGCTGGTGAGTTTCTTCTGGGAATGGATACAGTTTCTTCTGGGGTGATGGCTGCACAATTCTGTGAACTGTGCAGTTTAAAGGGGTGGGCTTTCAGGTATGTGAATTATATCTCAATAAAGCTGTTCAGCGAAAATAGAAAAATCTACCTGCTTTAACTTGGAACATAGACTTGTCGGGGTGTATAGTTTGTTTCTGTTTATATTTGGTTTAGTTTATTTATAAAATGGCTTTTTAAAAGTCATTTCATACTGTTAAATATAGTGACATTTCAAAGTGTTTTGTTTACTTTTTGGCATTCCATATTCTGAATTGTAACTTCGTGAATCGTGATTCCATTGTTCTAGGATAGGATAATTACTTTGTTTTTAACTGTAAACTACAAAATCCTTTTGGTGATGTCAGAATTTCCATATTAAATATATTCCCATCCTTCATTACTTTTTAAAAATGGGATATTTTTGTGAAAATGTTATACACTTTAAAGTAATCAGAGAACAGAAACACTGCATAATGTCTCACTAGCCTCTCACTATCCCTATTACCTTGAATAAGAGAGGAGACAAAACTAGATTTGGGTAATTATTTTGGAATTTCTGTGCTCCATACAGCTGTGAAGCTCACAGCTAAAGCCACCCCAGATGACCTCTTACCTGATCACTACCTGCATACTCCTTCTGATTACAAATTGGAACAGTGTAAAAACAGACTTGACTTTTGAGGTCTATTGAATTAAAAAAAGTATAGGAAGTAAATTAACCTGCACTTGTTATTTACTCCAGTTTATCTCTGGTAACTATTAAACAAGTTGAACTGCTTGGGGAAGTTAAGCAACAAGCGAACCCTACTTTGTAATAGTATGGCTGTTTATGCCAGACAGACATACCACCTGACCAACTTGCCATCAAGAATGGATTTAAGCCATTGCATAAAAGGACTAGAACAATCCAGTCTGTCTTCCATGGCACTGTGCCTAGCTGTGGCAAGGGATCAGAAATAGAAGAAAATAATAGCTTAGTTAGATAGTGAGGAGTACTTCCAATTAAACTGACTTCATGTCTTATCATAAAACATGGAAGCAGTAGGTCTTTATGCTACTTGCCGATTGATAACTGGGCTCTTGAATTAAGCTTTTATTCATTCATTTGACAAATAAGGATTAAACATATCTACCATGTGCCAGGACAGATAGGCCCTGGGACACAGCAGTAAACAAAGTAGATGTGCACTCGACATGAACAGAGCTTTTGTTTTAGTTAAAAGAAGACATATACGTGAAAATACAATATTCTTCAGAGCTGTTTATGTTTTATGAATATGTGACCTGTCATTCAATGAAGAATGAGAAGCAACGTACGAGAAATACATACTAGGGCAAAAAGCTTAAATAGATAAAAATCAACACACAACACAGTCTACTAGACCAAGACCATGGGAAAAATTAAAACACAGACATGTAAACCATAATCCAGTTATGAAAGGTGACCCTCAAGCTTGCCTTTTCCTTCTTATCAGTCCAATCAAATACAATTATTTACATGATTTGCATTGTTTGTAAGACAAATACATGACCATTTACCATGGAAAGGTAAACTTGGCAAAGTAAGAAGAAGCACAATGGCTTAATGCGAGAGTCTGCAGAAGCTCCATAGGAACGTATACTGGGGACGTCATGGAAAGTGGAAAACTGTCACAGAACTTTGGTGATGCAAAATTTGACGAAGAGGAAGAAAAGTACATCCTGTCTAGAGGTTTAACTGCTTGGTCAATGTGGTCTTGGATTCCAGACAAAACTAAAAATCAGTAGACTTAATGAGCACTTTTCTCTGATCATGAGCTTGGACTAGCCACATAGCCACTTTGTGTTTCTCGAACAATGCTCCAGGGCCTACTGCCCTCTCGCAAACGTGGTGTGGAGCCAGCGTAGCGGACAGCAGCAGGATCCCCACTCACTCAGTCTTGCAAGCCACCTCACAGTGGAGGCAGTTTCAAGCAGGGGAGGCAGAAAAGAATCACTCAACATCAAATCATGGCATAACGAGAGCACAGAGTTACTTAAGAGTCTCATGGAGGAAGCGTGTGGACTGAATTTGTTCACTTTGAAGGGAGGGCTCAAATTCAAACTGCAGAACCCATATGCGATCGTCTTTGTCTGCCGCTGTCACTTTTGCCAGAGCTGAGAAGCAGATGAAAAGGATTGCTTTAACTTTCAAAAGGCCCCCGGGATAGGACCTTTGGTGGAGGGAGCCACTGGCACGTACACATACGGGTGTGTCACAGATGTCCCCAGCTTAGGGACCGAGTGGGAGATAATCTGGAACGACACTGCTAGTTGTGGCTATGTGTGCAGCTGTGCAGGGAGAGGAGACTGTGGATTTCGAATGTGTCAGCTGCTGGAGCCTCTTACCTTTGCCCGACTGACATCCCAACTGTTGTGTTTTCAGCTTCCCTCACATCAGGTCAGGGAGAACTGGTGACCTCAGTTTCTTCACCTGCAAAATGGGTTACTGGCTTCTCAGGGATTTAGAGGCAATAGCTTCTGTTCACCAAGCAGTGCCCCACGTTTGCTTTTTTCAGCGAGGAACAATTTTCTCCCTTTGTTTTGTCTATTGTTTTGTTACTCAGCCATTTCTTTTTCTCCCTGCACACCCTGACCCCAAACAGGCACCTTGTTTGCTTGCATTGCTTTCTTGGAAACACTTGGCGGAGTTGCTGCAGTTTCTACTTTTAATGGAATTTATTCAGCAACCGTTGCTTGGTACCCAGGCTTCACCTTTCTGCTGTCTGCTGTTCTATTACTAATTCCAGCCATCAGTCTATGGTATGTAATTATTTTTAATCATTTTATTAAAGGATAGCTGGATTAAATGAATTCCCTAACCTCACCGGTAAAATTACATAGACTGCTAAAGTTGTTGAAGAAATTCAACTGAGTAACTTTTTTTGTTTTATTTTTGTTTTAGAGAGAGAGCAAGTGGGTGGGGAGGGGCAGAGGGAGAGAGAATCTTAAGCAGGCTCCACGCTCAGCATGGAGCTGGATGTGGGGCTCGATCTCACAACCCTGAGATCATGACCTGAGCCAGAATCAAGAGTTGGATGCTTAACCGACTGAGCCAGCCAGGCGCTCCTCAACTGATCTGATTAAAGATCTAATTGGCTCTAACTAATTGATTCATGAATTAGGCAGCATCCCATCTAACAAGTAGAGGGGAGCTCTGAGGAGCTGTGCTGAGTGGAAGGTTTTCACAGGATGGAGGGTGGATGAAGAAGCAAAAGAGAAGAAATAACTATTTCAGGCAAAGTCACCTTCCCTTAAGGAGAAGGGCAGGGGGTCTTATCAGGTAGATGATCCCATCTTCCTTTGGGGGATGGAGGGGACCCGTGGGGCAGACTCGTTGGTGCTGATCAGAAAACTCTTGCCTGACTAGTGAAGATTCTGTCTCTGGGGAAGGCTGGAACTGCAGTTAAGTTACATATTCAGTCCAGGTTTGATAACTTGGCCTACCTGATGCCATTTTGGGCCTGTGGTTTTCTTTTTAACAAAGTTTTACCTCAGAATGTACTTTTCTCAATAAATTTTAAGATTTTATTTATTTATTTGACACAGAGAGAGAGAGAGAGAGTGTGCACAAGCAGGGGGAGCAGCAGAGGGAGAGAGAGAAGCAGGCTCTCTGCTGAGCAGGGCATCCCATGCAGGGCTCGATCCCAGGACCCTGGGATCATGAGCCAAGCCAAAGGCAGATACTCAACCAACTGAGCCACTCAGGTGCCCCTTTCAATAAGTTTTAGACATGAAGACATCTACTGATAATGTTGAAAACCTAAGAAGAAAGAGACAATGACAAGGCTGACCAAAACTAGGAGAAAGAAAGATTGGGTCAGACTCTGAATAGCTACCCCCTGTCTCTTTAAATATGAACAATTGATTAAATTAGCATCCAAGAATAGATAGATAGATAGATAGATAGATAGATAGATAGATAGATAGATAGATAGATAAAAACTATGATTTCCTAGAGTATAATATCCTCTGAGGATCAGATTATATAAGAAGATAGACTTTAATATGGAGTCTTGGGTTGATGACAAGAGCAAATAGTGAACACTGAATATCAGGAACGTTCTTTCCAGAGAGTTGGCTTATTTAATGATTACTGTTTTAAAGGTAAATACCCAAATAAACACAAAGTACTAAATTCTATTTGTGAATAGTACGTAGAATAAAAAGACCAGAGTCAGACATGTAAGAGAAATATTTATTTCTCCCTTTGCCTTTTGGTTAATGAAAAGTATGATCTAACTAGGTAAGTGTTTGCCAAAATGCCCAAACAGGGTCAACACATTCTATGGGGCCAGCACACTGAGCTGAGGGCGCACTGCCCTTTCTTTGCTGGGCTTTGCCCATTCCACATGGCTAAGAGCATAGCGTGGTGATGGGGATCAGTAGAAGGTGGGGCACAAAAGGCATCTCTGCTTTCTCCTGAGCACTGGGCTGGGGTGGGGTGAGTAAGGGTGAAAAGTACCAATGTACCCAGGCTTTATGTATTCTGCCAAGACTATGAACTCCTTAAAGGACTGCCCTACATTTATTCATGTAGGACCTCAGTACATATTGTCTCTACTGAATTTTGATACCTAGATCTGTGTAAGAGTGTAACAATATTTGCAGTTCCTCTGTAATTTTGATGAAAAGTTATTTTTACTAGATAGCTTTTTAAAAAGAAACCATTCACCTATTGAACTGGCAAAATTAAAAATATACGCTGTGCTAATGAGTACACGATGAGACAATCAATCTTATACGTTGCTGGTAGTAGTATTATTTGGCACTGTCATTTTTGGAAGGCAATTCATAAACATGTATCAAAAGCTTTTTTAAGAAGTTCATAGTATTTGACCCAGTGATTCCTTTTAGAAACATATCCTAAGGGAATGGTCAGTAATGTAAAAAATTTATATACAATTGACCCTTGAACAACAACACAGGTCTGAACTGCATGGATTCACTTAACATGCAGATTTTTTTCAATATATACAGTACTATAATGGATTTTCTCTTATGATTTTCTTAATAACATTTCTCTAGTTTTATTATAAAAATACAGTATTATATATATATAAAACATACCACATATATGTTAATAGACTGCTTTATATTACTGGTAAAGCTCCTGGTCAATAGTAGGCTATTAGTAGTTAAGTTTTTAGGGAGTCAACAGTGATATGAACATTTCCAACTACATGGATGCCCCAACTCCTGCATTGTGCAAGGGTCCACTGGTATAAAGACATTCATTAAGACAAAAAAATTTTTTTAAATGACCAAAATGTCCAACAAGAGAATGATTAAATAAATGATGGTGCATCCATAGCATGAAACATAATGTTAATAAGAATTGGGGAAGGGGGCGCCTGAGTGGCTCAGTCGTTAACTGTCTGCCTTCGGCTCAGGTCATGATCGCAGGGTCCTGGGATTTGAGCCCCCCATGCATGGAGCTCCGCAGGCATGGAGCCCCGCATCAGGCTCCCTGCTCCATGGGAAGCCCGCTCTCCCTCTCACACTACCCCTGCTTGTGTTCCCTCTCTCGCTGTCTCTGTCAAGTAAATAAAATCTTAAAAAAAAAAAAAGAATTGGGGAGTAGATTAATGGGTAATTTTAATTTTATTCTTCATATATTTATACATACCTATTATGAACACATATGTAGCTAGCTAAAAGATAGTTATCCTTTTAATAATGTTTCTAATGTAAATATAGATGGTCTTCTGAGATTTTTTTAACCCTATACTGTTCAATATTTAAAAAAATAAAATTAGGGGGGCCTGGGTGGCTCAGTTGGTTAAGCGACTGCCTTCGGCTCAGGTCATGATTCTGCAGTCCCGGGATCGAGTCCCGCATCAGGCTCCCTGCTCAGCGGGGAGTCTGCTTCTCCCTCTGACCCTCCCCCCTCTCGTGTGCTCTCTCTGTCTCATTCTCTCTCTCAAATAAATAAATAAAATCTTTAAAAAAAATAAAAAAATAAAATAAAATTACATGCAGGGTGCCTGGGTGGCTCAGTCAGTTGGGCGTCTGCCTTTGGCTCAGGTCATGATTTCAGGGTCCTGGGACCGAGCCCTGCCTCAGGATCCCTGCTCCGCGGGGAGTCTCCTTGTCCCTCTGCCCCTCCTGCCCCCTGCTTGTGCTCTCTCTCTCTCAAATAAAGAAAATCTTTAAAATATAATTACATGCTTTTTTTTTTTTAAGATTTTATTTATTTACTTGAGGTGGGGGAAAGTAGAGGGACAGGGAGAGAGAATCCTAAGCAGACTCTGTGCTGAGCACCAAGCCCCAGCGCTGGGCTCCATCTCACCACCCTGAGATCATAACCCTGAGATCACGACCTAAGCCGAAACCAAGAGTCACCCAGGTGCCCCCCATTACTGCTTTTTAAATTCTAGATGTCTTCTTGTCCCAGCTTCAATTATAGGTATTGAACATGAACTTCAGCCATATCTATAGTCACAGCTACTTTTTGTGGACTACAGAATAAACAATGGGACAGATGGACACTGTAGGTACCTGGAAGAGAAAAAAACTGTAGATTTTTTTATTATTTTCAGAAAGCTATGCACAGTGAGTCAGTTGTATTCAAAATGCTACTATATTCCTTCTACATATAATTTGCATAATTTATTGGAAGCCATATAGTCGGGGGAAGATAGAATACAGGTTATTTATTTATGTATTGCCTTCATCACAATTTTAAAATATCTTGTTTGCTTTTGCAGTGTGGTCAAGTGCATCAACTGGAATGAAGGAAGCTATGTACTTCTTACACAAGAGGAATCCAGTGAAGACACTTCAGACAGATGATTAATTGTGATTAAAAAAAAAACAAAAAAACTGAAAGCACATATCATATACTCTGACTTCTGAGGAATGTAAACTAGTTCCATAATCAATATTTCATGAATAATCAATGCTACATGTCCTTTCTTTTAAACTGAACAGTGAGAGAACTAGCTCCTCGCTCTAGCTTCTTACAGTATCATGCACTTTGAGCACTTTATGAATATCATGTGATACATTTCCATAGATAGAAGAACAAATCTCAAAACATTTCCCACTTTTGGATTTAGGACAGAAACCGAAACTTCACAGTATAAACAGGGATTAAGAAACTTGACAAAATCAAAAGCAATAATCCAGTAATCCAATAATCCTAACATACTCCAGTCTCACTGCAACTAAGGAAGGAGAACTAACTCTATACCTAAGTTTCTTCATCTGCAAAATGGGTTTCTGACCTCTTGAAGATTTTGAAGGCCTAACTGTTCAAAATTACGATGAATCATTCACTGATAGGAAAATGATAGAAGTTTCAAATATTTCTAGTACAATAGTACCTCTGCCTGGATAATGCTTTGTTTTATAGAGCCCATCAAGGTGCTATTGACAGTGAAAGCTTTTAATAGATGCAAAAACCTGAAAATGGAATCACTTTAAATGATATATATTTTTACTTTTCCTAATATAATTAGATAGGTAAAACGGGGGATTGGAAAAAAAATACCATAAAAAATTGTTTATAAAGAAATGTAAAAACTGAGTAAGCAGCCAATCAGGAAGTAATATTATAGAGCCAATATTCATTCCTTATTTTTATCAAGGGATAGCCATTTCTTACTGCCTTAAACTCATCCTGAGACCCACCCTGGTCCCTGAAAGCACACTCTTTCATGCCTCCTGTCTTTCTATGCACTGTTCCATTTGCTCTTCTTCCCTCGGGACAATGAAACTTCAGAGTCTCAGCCAAAACACTGCTTCCTCTGTTTAGTCTTGACATTTCTTCCCTACTCCTATACTTCCCCCCACCCCTGCAGGGTGCCCATAGCACTTTCTTTATACTTCCATCCTAGCATTTTCCATTGTCTCATCATGTTTGTTTTCCCTACTTGACAATAAGCACCTTGAGGACAGGGACAATCTTTGATTCCTCATTTTATCCTCAATAAACATTTGTTGAACTAAATACAAAATTTTGTTTTTACTTGTAAAAAGAATTTAAATCTACATATTTAATGCGTTATGAGAGTAACCACTGATATCGATGCCACAGCCATTAAGCCAGCCTTGAAAAATATGCTAGCCTGTACACTTTTTAAATTGGTTTACAGCATTTTTACCGGTACTTCAATATCTTTGATTTTCTAAGTTACCATATGTAATAACGCAAATGCCTTGAAGTACAACTAGATGATTCTTCATAATTTCTTGAACACAGAGTTTTCCATTTGACAGGACTGCTTACAACTTTTTCTGTAGGGTAATCAATGATTGCTGGACTAGCCAAGAGCACTCAATGTAAAATATTGCAAATTTTTATTTCCAAGACTATTCCTTTTAAGTCTATCTAATGTCTTCTGGGCTGGAAGCCCATGTAAGAACTGAGTGATTTCCATATTTATTTATTTTTCTTCCTGTTCAATGCTCTTTCCACACCAAAAAATACTTTATGGTTTACAAAGTGTTCCTCTATATCAACTTATTGTATACTCTCTTAATAACTCTGACAAACTAGATATTCATTTTCCTCATTTTACAGACAAGGAAGTTAGGTCTCAGAGAGACCTGACCATGGTTATTCAACTATCACTAAGCAGTAGCATCACACAGAGATGGTCTTGGCACTGCTGAGATTCTTCATAGCTAAGGTGTACATGTTACAGATTGTAAATCCGATAACAATAACTGTGTAAGGTAAAGTGCACCCCAACAAAACACAGCACTACTGTATCCAACTAAACTGCCTACAATATTGCCTTTTTTTTATGGTTAGACATGATGGTCTATAAAGTCCCTTTCAGTTCAACCTTCCACGATTTTACACTCTTCATCTAAACTGAAGAGAGCACAGATGGTATAATTTCATACAGTTAAGAGATAAATAGATGGTTTTGTATTTGAGCAAAAACTATTTGAGCTGTAGTATATCAGGGCACTGGACTGAGATGGCCCAGAGTAAAAATAGAGCATAAAGGAGTTTAGCCATCTCCAAAATATATATCCTAAGATACGATTAGTAAATGTGATGAAGACTAGAGAAACTTGTAAGCTGATCGGGGTATAGAGTCAAGACAGAAATGAAAAAGAAAAAAATGCTGCCACCTAATCTCCCATAATGTGACCTAATTACCTGAAGGAAGAATTAATGAAATGATTTGTCTCTGTGGAGTCCATTTGAAGGGAACAAAGAGGAAAGTCATGTTCCTTTTTATCCAGCACTGTACAAGGGGGGTTAGATATACCATATCTAATAGAAAGGAATACTCTTATCACTACAGAGGGGATATTTCTATGAGGCTAGACTATTCAATAGGATTATTTATACCCTGCATTGCACAGCCTCAAGAAATCCCTTTTCTCTTAAGGAATCAAACCCATTTACAATTGCACCAAAAACCATAAGATAACTAGGAATAAACCTAACCAAAGAGCTAAGGGATCTGTACTCTAAAAACTACAGAACAGTTATGAAAGAAATTGAGAAAGACACAGAGAAATGGAAAAACATTACATGCTCCTGGATTGGAAGAAGAAATATTGTTAAAATGTCTATGCTACCTAGAGCAATCTATACATTCAATGCAATCCCTATCAAAATACCATAGACATTTTTCAGAGCTGGAACAAATAATCCTAAAATTTATATGGAACCAGGAAAAACCCTGAATAGCCAGAGGAATGTTGAAAAAGAAAAGCAAAGCTGGCGGCACCACAATTCCAGACTTCCAGCTCTATTACAAAGCTGTAATCATCAAGACAGTATGGTACTGGCACAAAAACACACACAGATCAATGGAACAGAATAGAGAGCCCAGAAATGGACCCTCAACTCTATGGTCAAATAATCTTTGACAAAACAGGAAAGAATATCCAATGGAAAAAAAGACAGTCTCTTCAACAAATGGTGTTGGAAAATTGGATAGCCACATGCAGAAGAATGAAACTGGACCATTCTCTCATACCATACACAAAGATAAACGCAAAATGGGTGGAAAAAAAAAAACCTAAATGTGAGATAGGAATCCATCAAAATCCTAGAGGAGAACCCAGGCAGAAACCTCTGTGACCTTGGCTGCATGAACTTACTAGACACGTCTCCAAAGACAACGGAAACAAAAGCAAAAATGAACTACTGGGACTTCATCAAGATAAAAAGTTTTTGCACAGCAAAGGAAACAGTCAACAAAACTAAAAGGCAACCTACAAAATGGGAGAAGATATTTGCAAATGACATACCAGATAAAGGGCTAGTATCCAAGATCTATAAAGAACTTATCAAACTCAACACCCAAAAAACAAATAATCCAGTCAAGAAATGGGCAGAAGACATGAACAGACATTTCCCCAAAGACATACAAATGGCCAACAGACACATGAAAAAATGCTCAACCATCATGAGCCATCAGGGAAATTCAAATCAAAACCACATTGAGATACCACCTCACATCAATCAGAATGGCTAAAATTAACAAGTCAGGAAACAACAAATGTTGGCAGGGATGCAGAGAAAGGGGAACCCTTTTACACTGTTGGTGGGAATGCAAGCTGGTAAAGCCACTCTGGAAAATGATATGGACATTCCTCAAAAAGTTAAAACAGAGCTACCCTACGACCCAGCAATTTCACTACTGGGTATTTACCCCAAAGATACAAATGTAGTGATCTGAAGGGGTACGTGCACCCCGATGTTTATAGCAGCAAAGTCCACAATAGCCAAACTATGGAAAGAGCCCAGATGTCCATCGACAAATGGATAAAGAAGATGTGGCATATATAGATATATAAAATGTATATGTGTGTGTATATATATATATATATATAAAATGAAATATT